GAAATTATTTTGCTCAAAGGAACACTATCTGGTCCCAACACCCGTCGTCTGACTTCATCGTTATTCACGCGATGCCCCTACCATACGCGGGCGATGTTGCGCAGACAACGGTTGTCGAAAATTGACAATCGCTAGACGTGGTATGCTCGGAGAGGCCAAATCTCGCAGCCATGGAGCAACACGGTGCGTACCGTTGCGCCCTCTCAGTGAAAGGGATTTGTCGTGCTGGCGCCAGAGATGCCGCAGATTGGCAAATGCTAATCTAGCTTTGATCACGCGTTCAGAGATCTCCTCACCCACACTTCGGCCAGCCGTTAAGCAACTCACAAGGTAGACAAAGCTTTCGACCACCTCCAGAGTGTCATTACCCAATGATAGTGCAGGAATGGGTTCCTGTCAATCTTCCAACAACACTTTGCACTTTGAAGGTGCAAATGACATACCATAGCGAGTAACTTCAATTGTCAGACGGTTCAATGACGGTTCAATGAATCATTGGTGCGTTGTCACCTAGTAAGGCAATATCATCGGTCTACGCTAAGTGTACGACTCTGTCCCTAGGTAGAAGCTCGACGTTAGCGTTTTGTAGGACATAATCTATGGCAAAGTTGAATAGAATGGTCGTAGGAATAAACGAAATGCTTCATACTTGTCAATTGTTGGACATGTCACTGTTTGAGCACGAGTGGTCAATCGGGTACGAGTGCGATCATAGCGGGCAAGAGATCGCGGGTTCGAGGATCCAATCCAATTTCCCTAGAAGCATAGCAGTTTCCTTCTAGAAACAAACGACCGTATCGTTCCGTTTTCAATACAACACAACACAATACAATACAGTAATTTCTTAGTGCAAATCTTCGCATAATATTGTGTCGTGTAGCACCCATCTGCACTTTTCACTATTTCAGTGACAACGAATTCAGGCTATACGGCAAATTTCATACTGATAAAGACAAAGAAAGCGTATGTTCAGAAACACATGCACATATACTCTCGTACCGTGAAATTGAGCGATTTGTTTTGACATATGTCTTACAAAATGGATAATTAAGAAGAATGTTTCATTCCATTTAGATGGCACATAGTGAGAATACAAGCAGTACTCAGGATGGGAAACATAACTAAAGCAAGTTTGTGATGAAAATATGTGCATGGAGAGGTGATGTAATCGATGCGAAGTGGATAAATGAACAAGCGAACTGAATTGCCTGACACTGCCTCCTCAGCCTCCCACCCCGTCGTTGTCCATACATATAAATCAGCTTTTATTCTGTCGACTATTGATTGTATCATCCAGTTTTCAGGAACAGATAAACAGATAGAAAACAACTTACAAAGTGTGCATATTCGGAAAAATGTACTCATGGGCTAAAATTTTCTGCGCTCGCTTTCTGCACCTGTTCTTTATCTGAAAATGGATTTTGTAGAACTTAAACTGTTATGTAGTACCCTCTTTTCTATTGAACTTGATTGATATAAATATAGGTAAAAAAATAATTATTCTTATTAAGCCATGACTAATTTTTCAAGTGAATACTTATGTGCATGATTAGTATCACGGATTATTACGTGATTCGAACTGCTTGGGAAAATCAACGGAAACCGAGACCTGGTCATGTGCTCGGTTCTCAGTTGCTCTGCTCCAGATAATTTCAAAACAAATTGAAACTTTACCATTGTGAAACGTACACAATCCGCAAGTTCAATTCTGTTAGCCGATGGCATTGATAGACTTCAGATCCCTGTCAAACTATTCTCTACAAAGTAATTTGTCAAACAGAAGAGTATTCAACGCCCTATCGCCACCAATTTCTCCCCTATAGGAATCAGATCCGGAGAATGAAGCCCGTATCCAAGGCTTTATTGGTGAAGTGAATCACAGTATGAATGCAATGGCCTCCACACCGGTTCCGCGTGCGCTGGACTCCGAATTGTTGCTGAATGCCGCATATCATCCAAGAACTGGACGACTGGAGTGTACAGTACAACAGGCACACGGGATATATCTGGCTGGTTCCAAATCTTCAAAACCTTGTGAGTTTTCACACACACACACAGTGAGAGAATCGGGAAATAAAAATGCATATGGGATGTGATAAGTCCTAGTGAGATAAGAGGGACCATACACCGAATAAGACACAAAATTACCTAATCGGTTGCCCTACAGTTATTTGATTGAAATGTGTTCCTCTTAAATTAATTGAGACTTACTTTGAAATAACACGTGACCTGAAGAACAAATTTGGCACGGTTTACAAGGTTTCTCTTATCTACATCAATCTACTGAATTCAAACTATTATCGTTTTAGTTAGCAGTATCATAGTTCATGTACAACAGCAAAAGCATTTCATCAGCCGGTACTGGCAGTACAAGTCATCAGCAGTCAGCCAATCGATAACAAACAGAAACGTGCTCGTGTGACTAGTTAATTTAATCAAGGTCCCATGTGAGGGACGTCCGTGTCATATGCGTCTATGTTTGTATGTCTATATGGGCGCATGTGTGTGATGTTGCGCGTTCAAATGGGAGCAATGTATGCAAGAGTTATCCAAAAAATGCTCTAGGCCATACAATGATATTCTGTGATAAAAATGAACAAAAGTGATAGAGGACAAACTGCGAAAAAATCCCTTTTCATATCCACATCTGTTGAATGGATTCGATTTCATAATGGTAGATTGCCTCGAATTACGGGTATTGAGTGCTCTATAAGTGGTCAATCATGTATATTCAAAAACCCTGGCACCTCGGCTCTATTTGTACTGGCTCTAATCAGTTACGTGTAGTTTAATTCTGAGCTATAAAAAAACCGAAAGATTTTCGTATTTCTCATAACTTTTTCCCATCACCTCTATGGCCTCTCTCACCCGGTCCGCGCTGGTGCAAAACGCTCCGCTTTTGGTCATCAGATTCGTACGTTCAGTTATTGCTTCGGAACGAGGAAAATACCGTGCTCGCGCAAAGCAAGACCAAAATATGCAAAAAATCGAGCAATCCGGCATTCAACGAAACTTTCTTCTTCAGTGTGACTTCCACGCAACTCGATACAATCGCCCTGGTCTTCATGGTCTATCATAAGAAACCACCGGGACATAAAATCTGTCTAGGAGGCTTTTCAATCGGTACGTTTTGGGGGATTGTCTCGTTAGCAAGTCATCGTGTTTCGTTCGCCTGGCCTCTTTCCACCTTATTCTTCTTTATTTGTCTCCACCAATCAATGGAGTTTCAACTATCGTTTTGATTAACTGGGTAAATGCATTAGCCAATCTTCTCGAATCAGATTTAAATTCACGTAAAACAGAGTTGTGAACGAATGAACTGTAAACGTTCGAATTAAGACTTGAATGTTTCTAAGATGATTACTGATTCCCAGTCGATATTTTAACCTGTTACCGGTTGTTTGAACGTGATTGTCACAATTAACAGGCGTAAAGTGAATTCAGCAGCAAATTCGACGCGTTGAAACTCGGAACAACGTGATTGTGCGGTTCCGTAATCACACAACAAAATGAGAATCACAGGGGTAAGGTTACATGGATGAAATCACGAAGCTTGGAATCGTCCGGAAATATTTTATATAAGGGGTTCCCATGCAATCGGATTCTTTTTTATCACAAGAGCAATGTGCTTTTCTGGCAATTACTCAGTCTACATCTGTCGGTGTTGGTGAGTTCTCCGAGCCGGAACCTTTGTTCGCAGACGTTTCTCAGCCAAGTTAGGCAATATCAGTGGGACTTCGGGGAACTTCCGGCACTGATGATGTTGTCTAGCTTGACTACGAAACATCGGCGAACAACACTTCCAGCTCGGAAGTCTCACCAACACTAACAGATGCATACTGAGTTATTGCCAGGAAAGCACAGTGCACTTGTGATCAAAGAATCCCGAGATACAATCATTCTACATCAGTCTACATCTCTCCGTGCAAGCATTTCACCTATCTCTTGCACAGTATCTTCTCTGGTTTTGTCTGCTTGACAAGCAGGTAAAACTTTGTGATTGTTTATACGGACATAGTGCACCTCTGAAATTTACAATATTCTCTGATCAATAAATACTATTTTGGAAAGACGTCAGACCGATGTGTACACATAATGCGGAACGTGACTTGAGATTGTCGACCAGTTGTTGGCGATTTCGTATCTATTGATTTTCGCTGTAAGACGGTCAGCGATAGAACATTTCCCAAAAAGTAACTGCTAGACTCAACATGAGAAATGGTAACCAATCGAGCGATTGAAAATGATTCACAGAAACGGTCGAATTAAATTTTTGATTATGAATGTGAACTGATAGGTTTGAACAGTGCAAAATGGACCTAAATCACCAGGGAAACAAACCATAAGTGAAAATCAATAAACCCTGGCCAAATTTGTTTGAAACAACCAATGGCATTCAGTTACTTTCCGACTGCATAGAATAAATTGTTCCTTTTCTTAATGGAAACAATTGGCGCACCAGCTGAATGAAACTTTAAAAAATCGGAAGACTCAAGCACGATGACAGAGTGAGTTACCAAGAAAAAAAACAATTACGAATCAGAATGCATCCGCGAACTGGGAACGAACAAATAAATGTTCCAGTGGAATCGTGCCCTTGACTTAATACGTGGTCGGTAGGGTTTTTACGCGATTGATTGGCTCAGAGAACAACCAATCATCCAATCGTTTGGATGTTCGTTTGTGTGTGAGTGTCGAGTTGCAGTTCGGACAATTTTTCCCAACAGGGCAGTGCAATCGGGCGTATAACGGAATGGTAAAGTTTGAGGATGTGAGCTTATTGGATGGGAAATTTCACTCGCTCTCCGGGAGCGGTATGAGAAAGGAGGGGCCTAAAAATACCGCGTGTTTGTCAACTCCAAATTGAAGGCAATCCAGGGTCTTCCACTTTCTGAATCGCTACACTTATCGCATTCATACTGCTGGCCAGTTTGTTTCACAAGCTAGTGATTTTGGTCCTCTCCCTCTCCCTCTCTCTCTCTCTCTCTCTCTCTCTCTCTATATATATATATATATATATATATATATATATATATATA